GACACTGTTCTGTAGTTTCCACACTCAGTTGGGTCACCTTTCTTTGGAATGGGAACAAATATAGATCTCTTCCAGTCAGTTGGCCAGTCAGGGGCTGTCAATTTGAAAAGGGGCTTTGACTCAGTAGAAAGATGCCGTAGGATTGGGAGAAAGACAGATGCCGGCCATACTTAGAAGCAGAGCCATTGCGGTGGGAAAAGAACTATGAACCTGTTCACCGGAGCTTAGTGAGTAATCACAGGCTTCCCGGTGCTTACCTTACCTGCTGGGTGATCCAACACTAGATGCAATGTAACTTGTGAAATGTCCGTGGGCTGTGGTGTGTAGATCATTTGGAATCAACTGGCCAGCTGTGGACTTGGGGTGGTTTTAGTGTAAGAAAAAGGCCGTGATCAAATGTTGACAGGTGTGTGAGGTGTGGCAGCTCAACTGTGATATGGACCTTCAAGGATGCCACGCATGTGGGGGTGCAGGCCAGTCTGGGGTAGACAAAGGTTTCCTCAAAATCCACAGGAGGTAATAACTTACCTAGTGCTGCTCTAATACTTGTTTCTTTTTTTTTTTTTTTTTTCCTGTAATTACATTTTATTAATTTCCATAAACATTTACAGAGATTTTGGGCTTCCACTCATTTATTGTTGCACTATTCTCTCTACCCTCCTCCCAGTTTGTTGTTCTTGTCCAAATGCCACAGTGCTTGTCAAAGCCAGTTCTGATTAATCTTCTTTGTCAGTGTATCCTTTGCCATTCCCTATCACTCCTCCCTGAGAGAGACTTCACCCTGAGTCATAAGGAAAAGGGGACGGCGTATTCTCTTAGCTACTTCCTGCTGAAAAGGGACGCTGTGGGTTTCAGGGTGAAGATCTTCTCTCACTACTCTAAAGGGCCCCTTTGGCAGTAGGAAACACATAGACTATTATGGAGATTGATTTTGGAATTTAGATGCACTCTTATTGATTGTGCTTGGCTGTACATGTACATATCCTTCAAGATGTATCATGGGGGTGTTGCAACCTAGAAGACACAAATTTGACTAACAAGTTATATAATACTTGTTTCTTAACTAGATACCTTTAATGAACAGAAATTTCTTTTCTCCTACTTCAGCGAATTGAACTCAGTCTGAACCAAGTCTAAACTTAGGATGTGTTTCTAAAAAAGAAGCAATTCAAAAATCAAATTCATTGCCATCGAGTCAAAACTGACTCAGCTGACTTTTTAGCAGATTTTCAGTAGCTGTAAATCACACAGGAGGAAACTGCCCCATCTTTCTCCTGTGGAGCAGTTGATGGATTCAAACCACCAGCCTTTGTGTTGGCAGCATGCTGCCTCCCCCAAGCCACCAGTGCTCCCTAGGGCATGGCTGTAGGGAGGTATCTGCCCATTTCCCATCTAGTATCTAGCAGCCATCAGGCTTTGGGCTCCTGAGCTGGTGGACTCATCTGCCTTGTCGTCAGATCATGTCTATCCTCCCCATTTGCGTGGACATGTCTATTTATGCCACCCTTTGTGTAACTCAGAAGCATCTTCATTTTCAGATTAGCCTGCACTGATATTGCCTCAGCTGCTAAACTCCCTCAAGTGAGATCACATCATGGAAGGTACTTACATTATATTCACAGGTATAGAGATTAGTGTGCCAACATACATATTCCGGGGATACATTCAACTCTCTCAGTAGTTAAGTAGGTGAAGAAAAGGAGGAAGCGTTTCCCAGGTGATGGAACAGAAGCCTGCGCAGAGGTCTGAGGTGAAAGTCACGTGGTGGTTGGGCAGAACTGAAAGAGGACTTCTGAGCCCAGAGGTGAGGCTGCAGTGTATAGGGTAAAGACCCTACACAG